TCAAGGAAGGGTTTACAAAACTGCTGGGCATCATAGTCACCTTCAGAATTTTTTAGTCCTACAGATTTCCATGTCCCATCCCAGAGATTCTGGCTATCGATGTGATGTGGGACCAGGGAATCTGCCCTATTAAAAAACTCCCCTGGTACTTTGGATGAGCAGTTTGGGAACTGCTAGCTCATCTTAATCAGTTTTTAGTCATACTGTCTTATAATGGTGTTTGGGAAACAAAAAAATCAAACTCGTTAGAATTTTGTGGGGAGTTCAAACTCATAGTTTGTAGAATTTAGCTGTTTTCTACTTGGAAAAAAGTTCAGAAGTCACTTAACCCTATCTCTCATTTAGGAACAATCTCATGCCTTTGTACATCTCAGGATGATCCAGGCAAAGGAAGTGCCTTGCTCAAGGGAAGCACTCTGTCCCCTGAACAACCAATTCCTCTCTTAAACAGCTTCACTTACTTAAAAAGATCTCCTAGATCCAAATCCTTCCTCTTTGTAGTTTCCGTTTGTTTCAGGGTGATCTTCTTGAGTGGCCTAGGATAAGTCTGTGCTTCCTCTTTGTGATGGCCCTTCAGGTTTTTAGAGATAGTTATCAACACACACTGTCTTTCCTTAGCCTTTTCTTCTACAAGAGGAACATACCTGATTTTTCCACTGGTTCTGAGACACCTTAGACCACTCCTATTTGTTAATGCCTGATTTAAAATATGTATATATATATATATATTGGACTCGGCATGGCCTCTCTGAGAACTCTACTTGTTACTGCTGTCATGGTCTGAGCACTGAGTCTGAGTGCTCAGAAACATTCGTATTATTGGCAAATTTTGTTGGAAATTGACAGGGGACCGACTGATGCCTATTTTCCAGGATCCATTATCTGCCCCTCCCTTAAGAAATAGGCCAGTTGCCCATTTGTATGTTTCTGACATCTCCCACATTCTCTTAGGAATTACCTAAGATTACAGATGCCCAAGGCCAAAAGCATTCTGGACATGCTTTTTCTTTAAATTTTTAGAGGGGCTCCTATCTAGCTGCTGACATACAGCAAAACCCCAAAAGAATGAGCTGTTAGATCAATGGCGCATCTCCTCTGAGATGTGTCTGGCGGGGGAGCATGGCTGCTCGGTAGAGGGGTCGCGGAGGGCTGGGTTTCTCAGGGACCCTGGCAGAGTATAAGCCTCACCTCAGACAGCACCCCTGAAGTGCCCACTCTGGTTTAGCAGTGTAGTGTGTTGGGGCTGTTCTGTCAAAGAGGACTTGCCTTTTGTTGTTCTTGGAAACAGTATAAAGAAAAGTCAGTAGATTTTTGTTTCTCTTCTTACTCCCATGGCCAGCCTATATTTTTGTTGGAATTCTTTCTTCTCTTCCCTTTTCTTCCTTTTTCCTCCTTTCTTTCTCCCTCTCCACTTCCCTCCCTTGTTTCTCCCTTTTCTCCTCTCCCATTCCTCCTCCTTCCTGTCTTCATTGGCCAAAACATCTTTCTTTTAGCAAACCAAAGAATGACTTAGCAGTGATATATACAGCTTTGCAGTCAGATAATGACATACAGAGCTTCATGTGAAGGCCAGCAATGCCCTCTTTTCACCCCCTTCACTCACTTTAGCAATAAGATCCTTCATGGCTCAGTGGTGAGCAGCCTGGCATGTGGACAGGAGCATAAGCTCTGGTGCTGAGCTACCTGGGTTCAAATCCTGGCTCTGCCACTTGTCAGCTGTGTGGCTTTGAGCATAACACCTAACTTTTCCCTGCTTCGTGTCCTCAGGTTTAAAATGAGGGTAGTATTAGTACCTATTCCCAAGGATTACTATGAAGATTAAATGGTTAATTCATATAAAATGCTTAGAACAGTGCTTGGCAGATAATTGTTGCTCAGTGAAAATTTGTGAACTGTTGATTGAATGAATTGCTTTATAAAATTTAGTGCAAAGGTAAAATATATATGAATAACCACATTATGACAAATAAGGCATCAATTTGGAGATTTATTTAGAATGGTTAGTCCCCTGACTAATCCAAATCAGAGTTTCATGCTGAGTAAAAAAGGCTTTTATGATTTAAAGAAAATCCTATTTTAAAAGCAGTTTTTAGGAACACATGCTAGTAATTTACTTTTATCCTTTTTGACATATGTATGTGTATGTGTGAAATACATCAACCAAATCAAATTATATATGTACAGTTTAAATAATAGCACTTAAAGGAATAAAAAATTAAAACTAATACCTGTGTACCTGTCACCCAGTTTCCTAGAACATCACAGGTATCCTTAGAGCCTTCTCTGTGTACAGCCCCAGGGCCCTGTCTCTCCTGTACAAGTATCATAAATTTTGTGTTAATCATCTTGCTCTTCCTCAGGGTTTTACCACATATAAAATGTGATGTTAGACATCAAACTGTTCAGATCTGTTCAGCAAAATCTAAACAATTGTTTAGTTCAACAAAAATATCACACTTTTTTTTTAACTATACCACAGTTAACATTGAGTTTGATTATTGGTCTGTTTAGATTCATTTTCAGTGTCTTGTTATTCTTTATCTGTCCCACTTTTCTGTTTCACTCCCATCTTTTTCTTTTGTACTGAGGTCTTTTTCTTTCTTTCTTTCCTTTGGTTCCCTTCTGCCCCTTCCATCAGTTTGGAAGTTACATACTCTATTAAATTCTGACACACACATTTAACAAAGCACAAAATTAATCAACATTTTTTTCCCTCCTCCCCATTAATGCAAGAATCTTGGAACACTCCTTTCTTTGGAATTATGCAGTTTCACACAGAAAAGACTCTTCACATCAAAGTTGGGAGCTACAGTCTTTGATATCTGGTTTGTTTGGTTCAACCCTCTTGACAACATTGTAACCCTCTCTTGGGAATAGGAGAGAAGAAAAGTGTCACTGTTACGAGAAATACAAACCATTGGAGCTGACTGGGGCCTTCAAAATGATCTAGACTAGTGTTTTTCAAACTTTTTGACAAGCCCAATAGTAAGAAATAATATTTTACTTCATAACAAATACACACATAGGTATAGTATGTAAAACTGAAAAGTTTCATGAAATATTTCCCTTCATCTGTGTAGCACACTCTGAGCTATTCCATTCTATCCTTTCATTAAAAAAATCAACAAACTTGTCCAAACCCATTAGATTAATTGCATACTCATGAAGGGGTCCTGGCCTACAGTTTGAAAAACTCAGAACCTGCCGAAAGACTTCAGTTTGTAGCTTAGGAAGCCAATCCCCAGATAGAGGACACAGGTCTCCCAGTGTTGTACCGTAAGTGAGGCATTGGGACCCAAATCTCTAATCTCTTACCTCCAAGTCCAGTTCTTCATTCACGTGTCAACCAGACCAAAAATAATACAAGATGGAGTAAAAAGGGAACCATTGGTGAGCTGTAACCATGAAATGAGGAATTACACCCTCCTGATAGCTCCTGGACATCTAATTTTGGCAGGTATCTTTGACAAAGCATCTCATAAGTGCTGCTTGGTGAACCTACCTCAGTGCTTGGTACCACTTTTCCTCTCTGACACTCCTAACCAGCCCGTACAGTTGGGATTATTATCCTGACTTTATAAACGAAGGAATGGAGACCCAGAGAAGCCCCCCATTTATGTTGCTCATGAGGTGAGGAGCTGGGCCTCCCTGTCTGACCCCAAAGCTCACAGTTTTCCAAAGCCTCTCACTGCATCTTTATAGTTCTTGACTTGCTTGCTCTTAGCTCTCTCGGAGGGAAGATAAAGCAACAAGAGAAATACTCTCCAAGACTAGTTCTAACCAGTCAGAGTACCGAGCTGGTGATACAGTGTACCGAATAGCTTGTTTCTCCTGTCTCCCGCATGAGCACATCAGCTCCTGGAGGGTGTGGTCTTCACGCTGGCCACTAGCTACTACAGTCTTGGCACACTGTTTAAGATGAAGGTGAATATTTCTTGAGTGGGTAAGCCAGGACATGTAGAAATGATAAGGGTTTGGAAGAACCTACATGGCAGTATGGAGGCAGTGTCTAAGAACACAAGCTTTGTGACTGTGAGCCAGTGACTTGGCTTCTCTTGTGCCTCGTTTTCCTGAGGATCATGATGAGGCCTACGTCATGGTGTGGTTCTGTGAGTTAACAGAGGACAGCGTTTATACAAGGGCCTGGCTCATTGTAAGCCCTGGATAAAGGTTAGCCACCACTGCTATCTAAGGTTATGATGATTAAGAAGGGGATCACTAACACTAGGTCTCATATTTTAGGAAAATCTATGGAAAGTTTAGAGGTATGATTGGATGGCTGGAGACTCGGAAGAGAATACCCTTCTTGTGCAATGGTGCTAAAATTGTGCTAAATAATTATGGTAAAACACATCTCTGTCTCATCATAAAAGGAAGATTTATTTATGACCCAAAAAAGTCTCAATATAGAGCAGATTATGAAGCAGATGGTTTATAAATAGATCATAAACAATATAGTGTTTACTAAGCATCAACATGGATTTATAAACAATAAAATTCTTGAGCAGGTGACTTGGTTAGAAGTCCTGGAGAATGCTGCAGATACAGTGTGCCTTGCTCTAAGGAAGGTATTTGGCAAATCTAATTTAAAGAACAGCAGAGCACAGGGTTTCAGTGTGAGCCTCACCACATATCCCCCTGGAACCAAGCGTCAGTTTTCTCATCTGCAAAATGTGGATAATGACTGCAGCAGCCTCCTTGTGTGGTTGAGACCTAACAGAAAAGGAATGCAGAGTGCTTCGTAGCAGAAGGTAAATAAATGTATGTCCCTAATTAGGACACTTGGATAAGCCCTTAGGAAGGTGAAATAGAATGTGGTTATATTAACAGTCAAGGAAGTTTTCAGCTGCTAGCCTCTAACAAGCCCAGGTCCTAAGTGCTCAGAGGAAGGGTGGAAACTTGCTTTGCAGTTATCAGAACAAATCCTGATGCCCCTGACGGAAGGCTGGTGAGAACGAACCTGAATAAGCAGCCTATTGCTTCCTCACCTCTCCCTGCAGGGGCCTTTGTGGTGTGCTGGACCCCCGGCCTGTTGGTGCTGCTCCTGGACGGCCTGAACTGCACGCAGTGTGGGGTGCAGCACGTGAAACGGTGGTTCCTCCTGCTCGCGCTGCTCAACTCGGTCATGAACCCCATCATCTACTCCTACAAGGACGAGGACATGTACAGCACCATGAGGAAGATGATCTGCTGCCTGTCCCCGGAGAAGAACCCAGAGCGCCCCTCCCGCATCCCCTCCACCATCCTCAGCCGGAGCGACACCGGCAGCCAGGACGCGGGAGACGGCGTGAGCCACAGCGCGGTGCGCAGCGACGGCCACCCCTGAGCTGCGCCCGCCGCGGGCCCCTCTGGGGAAAGAGCCGTTCAGATCGGGCACTGGTCTCCAACGACGCCCACGCTCAGTGTTATTTGAGGTCTGAATTGATCGCTGGTAGACTGAAAAAATTATTTGACATAGTTTAAAGGCATGGGCAGTGGGGAGAGGACACAGTGCCTTTAGAGAAAATGCACAGGCAGGAAGACAGCGTCATGGGTTCCTGTTTAGGGTTCTGTGATCCCCGAGAGCCGCCAGCGGGGCCGTGCCTCCTAGGCGCTGCCGCCGTCCTGTAGCCGTTCTCTTTGTGTTTTAAAAGGATGTTGTTAAAGGGCTTAGGCCAAAATAATAATATTACTTGAGCCACCTGATATAACTGCTTGGAAAGCCGATGTAGTTCTTTCTGCATGCATTTACAATTTAAAAAATGCTTCAGCAATATTTTTTTCCTCCCAAGAAACCATGGCCAGTAGCTAGGTGTTCAGTGCGAATCTCAGAATAATAAATAGTAAAGGCTCCAGATTAAACTTGATTTTAACTGAAAGAACATTCTGAGGAAAAAGATTTACTTTAATAACAAAAAAGGTGAACGTTAGAAATGTCTCTTGGAGCAAAAACAAAGAAAAAGAGGTCTTGATGTGGCCCTCTAAACATGCACATGTGTATATACCACTGCATATTTATACATTTCAAATTTATATTTAAACACATCAAGGACAGTGATTGTGAAATTCATTCACTCACTACCTAGACTTTCCAGTCTAGGACTATAGCTATAAAAACAACTATTGTGCTCTAAAAGAAAAGAGAAAGAGGTGATTCATTTGAAAACAGACATATAGCATGTAAAAGGTATATTGATAAGTGGACCAAGTTCCTTTCATAGAGAATTAAATGTGATCTTGACTCAAGTCCTTGTTTTCAGTTACCTCTATTACCCCTGGTAGCTTATCAGATTTAGTATGTGGAATAATTTTCACATCTTATATTTTGGCAACAGTTATCAGCATGCTTCTAATGCTTGTCTTACCTGTGAACTGAATTTTGATCTGAGATCTATTTAAAATTTGTCTCTTCAAAGAACTAAGTAGGCAATATGAGAGGTAAGTTAGTAAGAAAAAGGAATTCTGTCATACACAAAGGCTACTGACCACAGTTTTCTATGTAAAGCATTAAGAATAAATTCTGACTAACTTCAAGGCAGGTCTTTTAGTATTTATGTAGTTTGCAAAAGAAGTTTACATTTTCTTTGCTATTGTGATGTAACATGTGCAAGAACTACTTGTAATAAAAGGATTTGAGAAGTCATGCTTTTAGATACAGTGGCCTAAAATAGAGAGTGATTTGAAGGTGTAGATTTCACAAACTGTGTAGTAAGTGGGTCTATCCAAAGTTTATATAAAAGCTATCTATAAAATAAAATTAAAAATCTGTTCTTTCTTGTTGAAGTGCATTATTGCTTTGTGTATTTTCCAAGTAAAAATATAGTTGTGGTAACCACTACATGCATTTCTATTGCAGAAGAAAAATCAGATTTGCCATAAAGTACATACTCTCAGTGTTTTATGTAAGCATTTTGAATCTACAGCTGACCAAAGGGTGGAGAACTGAAATTGAATTCCAGTCCCCAAATAGCTACTAAGGGATCTTTAGAGGTTTTATTTTGAGGAAAGTACTGTTTTTAGTACCCTGCAGCAGAATGTCACATTCAGAATGGTGTCTGGAGGGGGTCCAGGTGTGGAAATCATGGTGGAAAATATATGACTTTTGTTTTAATGCACACACATATCTCAGCAATGGTGCAAGAGTAGAGAAGTCATGTATATTTGGAAATGACAAGTGGCAGTGCTCACAGGGCTTACCACAAACATAGCAAACCCATCTCTTTGTTGGGAAATAAAAAATGAAAACTCTTTCTTGTCAAATCCCAGGACCCCCAAGCTTATCTGCAAGTGATTGAGATAATAGTTCTAAAAATTTAAATTAGACCTTTTCAAATCAGCCCTTGACACCAAGCTTGCCCAATCCCCTAGACAAAAATGATTTAATTTTCTTAGATTTGTAGCACTGTCCAAGGTGTTCTGATACATCTGAATCGATGGGAATTTTTAGTCCATCATGAAGACTGCCTGCTTGGAAAGAAAGAATTTTGGGGGAATGTTGATATTTCTTGGTGAAAGTTTTTTAAAGTGAGTGGGAGACTTGAGGCCATAATGTGACCCTTAGAAGTCCTAAGCACTTAAATGATTATGCCACCATTTGTGTAATTCCAAATACAAACAGTACTGAACCATGGGATAAACAAAGCTCTAACTTCCCTCACATTCTGGACTTTTCTGCTTTCTACAAATATTAACAACCAAAATTTAGAAATTTCGATGCCCCCACTTTACTAGCACCAAGGGCATGTGTGCAGCCCACGGTTGGATGGCCTACGACTGAGAGGACTGGATGACGTCTGCAGAAGCAGCATGAGGTGGTGGGAATGGAGGAGGTATGGGGGATGTAGCTCTGTTCATGTCCTGATGCCACCCCAGGTAGACTACATGGCATGCCATGTCCCATGTTGGTAGACTAATTTCAAAAAGTCAAAAGTGTTTTGTACTTATTAGCTCATTAATCCTCTACTCATTGGGTGGGGGGATGGGTAAGAATGCTGGGACCTCTCATAATTGATTGAACAGGCCTAATGAAAGGAAGCCCCCTGAAGACTCCCATGAAGGTGATTAGTGACAAACTCAAGCCCTGTTAGGACCTGGAACAAAAGTAACAAAGCATTCTTCTACAGGATGATGCATCTCACTGTGTACTAAAAAGAATTAAAAATGCACAAAAACGGATCTGACTTCTGGGATGCATACCAGAGAATTATATCCCCTCAGTAGCCCACTAAACGTGCTATTAAATTGGAAACCTTTAGGGCTCCTTTCAGTTTTACACATTGTCTCTCGGGTGCCAGAGTTGGGGTTAGAATCACTTAAAGACATGAAGAATTTTTAAAGTAAGGGAAGCTGCATTTTGTGTGAGAGATGCTCTCTGGAACCCATCACATAATTTAAAATACCCATAATTTAAGGATAGTTTTCACAGAGATATAAGGTTAGGATAGGAGATGCTCTTGCTAGGGTTTTTTGCTTTTTGGGTTTTTGGCTCTAGTGCTGTATTTTATTTTTACAGCTTTCTCTCCAGTGCTTTTCCAAGTGTGCTCTCCCAGATTAACAGATGGTGAACTATTAAAAGCAGTGGTTTAGGGTTCAGAGTGTTTTATCATACATAACTTCTGAGCTAAAGGTTTATACACACACAATAGAATCACATGTGGAGGTTCTGGGACATGTCAATCAGAGTGTGTGCCACATCCTACTACATATAAAATATAGCCCCTCTGCATGCCAATCCATAAACACAGTTTACAACTCACTGGGACAGCCAGTTTAGGAATTTGCAGTTCTTGCCAGCTCTTTAGAGAGTTGCAATTTTACATGGCAAAATTTCATAACATTTTCTATATCAGCAACTAAAAGTTTACATAATTTAAATTTCCATAAACTGCATATGTATTGTATTTGTTTACTGAGATTAGAGCCTGCATATTCTATATGAGTCATAAGGTTATATTGAAGAAAAAGTGGGGGACTGACTGTCCCCAGCCTGTGTTACACCTCTGCGCATATTAGAAAATGGTATCCTCTCCACACGACTCTTTACTTGCATCTATTGGAAAGTCATCCAACACACCGATTTTGTTAGAACTTGACCAACACCTGTCAGAAAACTGTGCTAATACATATGCACCTCCACTGTGTAACCAGCATATGTGGAGTGTTCAGTTCATCACTCATGCAAATGTACATGACAACCATTAGAGAAAACACTAGATTGAAATTCAGAATACCTGGTTCCGATTTCTGTTCAGCCTAAACTGTCTATGGAACTCTAGATATGATTGCTGATCTCCTAAATGAGGGTCTTACGTGATCTGTATGAACCTTTCTAGCTCCAAAATTCTGTGATTTTATAACTTACCTCCCAAATGTGAATTGTTGAGGGAACATTAAATCTTTGCATTCTTTGGATCTCACTCCTTGTGTAGGGATTTCAAAGAAAAGGAGCTCAGCTTTCATGTTTTGCAATGGTTCTCAAGCTTTTATCTGCATACAAATTACCTAGGGAGACCACCGAAAATCTATGAGATTAAGGCAGGTGTGAAATGTGTCATCATAAATCCATCAATATGTGGGGAAAGGATTTCTGGAATAAAATGGAACTTGCTAATGGAGTTAATAAAATGGAGAACCTAGAAGACTTGGTGATCTGCTTAATGTGTGCTTTATAAAATGAACTCTGATTCAAAACGTGTGAGCTGCTGTCTACTCCATCAAGGTAAATAGAAACCACATATTTATTTCTACATTTAATTTAACCAACATCTTTGAACATGAACATTTCCTAGGTGCCAGGGAACAAGCAAACAAAAAGTCCCCACCCTTAAAAAAATTAACAAAATCATAAATCAAACATATAAACAAGTAATAAACAAGGAAATAAAGAGAAAAGGAGCTGAAAATACTAAGGATTGACAAGAATGATGTCCTTAAGGTATCACTTTGGGACAGCGGCGATATTGGTGGTGTACTTTTTTAGATCTGGCCTCTGTGATGTGATTCTTGATACAGAATTCTCCAAGACCCTTGGGAAGAAAAAAAGGCAGTCACATAAAGGAGCTACTTTGGGAGTTAAAATCAGTCTACCATTTACGGGATGGGAATCTAGTACTGATAGCCTAACTTAGATTTGTGTTTTTCATTGTTAGGTGAATGTCTGACCACAGGTTTATATAAATTGGGAGATGGGACATATCAGCGAGTCTTCAGTTAGAAAAGAGAAACTATTCTGTCATTAGACAATTAGGTGCTTATCAAACAACTGGAAAGCCTAGAGGAGCAAAGGGAAGGGAAGCCCATAGTTAGTTCTCAGATTTGCAGATAACTTTCTGGGAAGTATCGCCACCCTAGTCAGAGACTTCAGTAAACAACCTCCTGAGGCAGGTGATTTGCAGAGGGACACCCAGAGACCACTACAAAACCCCACTTCTGCTACTACAGGAAGAATATGGCTTCCACTTCCC